CGCACTGAGCCTGTGAGGACCTGGCCGGCTGAACGCGCTGTGGGAGCCCTGGAGGGACGGGGTTCAGGCGGCATGGGCTGCATCCTGGGGCAGCGTGAAGTCGCCCCGTTTGCCCACTGTTTGGGAAGCCTTTATGGGAAAATGACAGAATAATGCGCACGTGGCCTTCAGGAGCCCGAGCTCAGCAAGCTCAGCAGACCCTCCGCAGGTGCTGCTGGGGACAGGAAACGGTGGAGACACCATGGCCCGCGTGCCTCATCTGTCAGGCGCTCTTGGCTTCACAGCAGACAGGAGACCCTCTAAGCAGACAGAAGACGACGAGGCCCCCGTGGAGGGCGCTCTTGAGCAGCAGCAGGAGGTAGGTATAGTAGGCAGAGGTGCTGGTGAGCTGCAGGTGCAGCAAACCTAAAAGAAATCAAGTCATGAGTTTCAGCTGCACATGTGACAGCAGGGGACACACCACGGGGAGGTGTCACTGGTGTGGATTTCTGGTGACCTGCACTGAGGTGACACCACCCATTGCACCCAAAGCCAAAGGTCAGCGTCTACCTCTTCCACCAGGACATCAAGGGCAAGATTCAACTTCAACTCAACTCGATTAACCTAAGCTAGTTTCACTTAGAACATCTCAACAATAAATATCAGGTTCATTTTTAATATAGTCCAATAGGGGAAAACATTTGGGATAATTAGTAGAATTTCTTTGACCTCAACATGTCTCTAACTAATAACAAGTAATATCAACTAAACACTAACATAATACAAAACGTTATTCTGAAAGCTTTGTATGTAAATCCTTAATCTTATTTAATGTTATAACAACCTTACAACACTTATTTTCATTGCTGTTTTGCAAACAAACTGAGGACATAGCAATAATTTGCCTGATGTCATGTGTTTTAGTAACAACCTGAGAATTTAATCCACCAATATGACTTTTAAAAACATATTCTAGTGGTTTTGGTTTTGTGTTTGTTTGGTTTGGGGTTTTTTTGTTGTTGTTTTTTTTGGTACCAGGGATCGAACTCGGGTCCTTGCGCTTGCAAGGCAGGCAGTGGAACCACTGAGCTAAATCCCCAGCCCCTGGTTTGGTGTTTTTTGAGAAAGGGTTTTGCTGTGTAGTTCAGGCTGGCCTTGAACTCACCATGTAGCTCAGGCTGGCACCAAACTCATGACAATTCTTCTGCCTCAGCCCTCAAGTGCTGGGATGACAGGCATGTGCCACCATGCCTGGCTGAACATACTCTTCTCTACTCTGTGATTCTGCATTTCTAACTGTAATAAACATGCCTGACATCAAAAATTTAAGTGTAAAGTTCCATGGCTGATTTAGAAGCACCTGAGCCCTTGCTTGCAACATGATATGTAGGAACTTACAGTCCATGGAAATGTGATCTCCCCAGAGAGGTGGGTGGAGATTATAGAAAAGGGGGCACTACAGAAGAGTGAAGCAAGCAGTTATTCCACATTCCCTGAGATGTTCCTTGATTGTGGACCACTCCCCTGTCCTTTCTGCATGTTTCTCTTTGTGGCTGTGATATTGCTAGGTAACAGCACCTGTTGCCCTTTGAAATTTTATAAGAAATATGTGATGTCAGGTCATAACCAAAGACAATGACAGTGGGCCACAATGGCTACACGATGAGAAGCAAGGCCAAATCTCTTCCTGGAGAAATTTTTATTTTACATGGTCTGTCTTCATAGAGTCAGAACTCAAGAATCACAAGCCCATGGTATAGAAAGGGGTCTCAGGAAATGTGTTCCTAACTCCCTGCCCTTACTCAGTGAGGGTTACC